GTGTGTGTGTGTGTGTGTGTGTGTGTATATATATATATATATATATATATATAATGAACTAACAATGAAAAATACTTGTAAAGTATATATATATATATATATATTCACAAATCATTCTAATATGCTGATTTGGTTCTCAAATTTTTTTTTTTAAGTTTGAAAACTTTATTCATAATGACTGCAGTAATGGCTGCTGAAAATTCAGCTTTGCCATGTAATAATATTTCACAATTTTGCTGTTTCTACTGTATTTTTGATCAAATAAATTCAGCCTTTGCTAAGCATTTCTTAGCACTTCTTTAAAAAAAAAAAAATTTAAGGGGGTCTGAATACTTTCCGTACCCACTGTACATAAAAATTAAAATTCTAAAAACAGCACTAAAAATATGTACAATTCGAGATGTACAATTTTACTTGTATTCATTTAGCACATTTCTTATTTTACAGCTGTTTTTTACTCAAGAACACACAGTATGTTTCTTGATTCGAAAATGTTTAAAACATGTAATTTAATGTGTGCTGTACCATCTGGGTGTGCGATCGGATGAGACTGGCTTCTTCAGATGTCACGCTGCTGTTGAGACTACTGAGGGACTCTGCAGTGGACAGACGCAGAGACTGACTGCTGGTGAGGGACGTGGTGGACAGACGCCGCTTCCTCGCCCCGCTGCAGTTATTGGGAATACTAAATGCACAGCGTTTGTGGTAATTCAGTCCACAGCCTGCAGGGGGAGACAGTAAGAGGGCAAAAAATTGGACACTGTGGACATTTATCACACTTATGTCCAAACATGTCTTTAGATGGAGCCAGTTGGGTCATGGAAAATATATGAAGTTGCATGACAGCGCACAACAAGTCTAGCTATGACTGAATGAAACCAAGTCCAGCATGAAGAATACAAATTGTGAAAGACAGAGTCCCCACCATCACATTTGAGTCCTTGACGGACCAGGCCGAAAAGCATCTCGCCGCAGTGATCGCAGAACGCCGGCGCACGATACGAGTGCACGTTTAACGCGTGAGGCCGAATCTGGAAGTCCTTGGATGTAGCAGCAGCTGCAGAACACAGAACAAAATCACAAAAAGGACACATCAGTGCTAACTGCTCCATTGTCATTCAAACCCTCTTTAGGGTTTCTGCAGGTTTTATGAAGGTAAATTTAAGACATTTCAATACATTTCAAGACCAAGTAAATAAAATGTGAGTAATAAATTGAAGGAAACACAATACGCCAATATGGTCCCTAAATCTACAGTAAATTAATACGGAGAAAACAATGAGTTGTATTTGCAGCATTTTAAAGTTTGAAAATACAATTTCCAGCAGATGTCTGTTACGTTTTAATTAATTAAAAAAAAATTGCTTAAAGGGGTCATACCACATAGTGACGTAGATATGTGGGGGCGTGTTAGAACGAGCCGTTTTAGGTAGGCGTAGCTGACTCTTAACTTTTATAAAGAATATCTCTTTGGATTTGAGACTTTAGTCTTTGCAACTTTACAGATCTTCTTTATGCACCAAGAGCTTGTAACACTCCAAAGAGAAAGGAAAACTTGAAATCGCATCATATGACCCCTTTAAGGCTTGAATGGCTTTGATCACTTTTACTGTAAACTTTTACTGTACAGTCTTTAAAATATTTGGATCTTGATCTGAAAATATTGATTTGCAGCATTTGAAGCAGTGTGTGCTGGAGTCTGAGATATAGTATCTCCCATCTCTATCAAATCTCAACATGCTCTCAAAACACTTCTGTGCTGATCACATTTGATCTTTCACTTTGGCTCTCACACACACAAACAACTGGAGCTTTGTCAGTTTCTCTATTAGATCAAATGAACCGAAAGGGACGTTGATATGATCTAGGTCACATCCTTTCAGTTCAGTGATGTGACTTCTTGTTAAAAGCTATTGTTCAGATTTTGGTTATTGACATTATAGCCATTTTAACATTATATAAAAAAAAGTGTGTCAACCTCCAGGAAATTACTTTGTGTCATATACTGTACTGTTGATTCATATCACTTCAGTACTTCATTGATACAAGAATGCAAACCCTGTAGATTTATGTCCCAGCGCTTTCTTGAAAATCCCTGTGTAAAATACTCTATGGGTAAAAAAAAAAAGAATCTGAATCTGGTCAAATTTCATTTTAAAATAAAAATACAAATGCTGTATTCAGCATAAATTAAATATGGACACATTTTTTTTGGAAATTAACATTATCCCCAGATGCATTTACTAATTCTCATTATTACAACGATGTTTTAGTATTATTTATATCCTATTATAGCATTTATTAATATTTTGAAATATCTTTCTATTTTCAGTTTATTTTAATTTTAGTTAAAGTTTTAGTCATTTTATTTTGTGCTTTTGTCATTTTAAAATATTGTAACATATTTTTTAATATAATTTTTTATATTCATATTTAATTTAGCTTTGATTTATATTTATTTCAGTTTTGGTCAGTCATGTTGGTACTTCATCCCAAACTTATTTTATTTCATCTTGTTGCCAAGGCATTTCTAATTTTTCATCTAAGATATATATTTTATTTTATTTCAGTCTTATTTCAGCAAATTAAATTCAATTGAAATTCAATTCAATTATTGTTATTATTAAATACTCTTTACATTCTAAAGACTGTGCAACATGTGCTACAATGTATGATTACATTGTATACAAAGAGATTTATTCAAATTGCTGGAATGTGAAATGAGGGGGGAGAATGAAAAAAAAAGAAAAGTTCTCCACAGGCCAGTGGTCGCTGTCATTCATGTCAGCAGAAATCATCATATCTTAATAATGAATGACTTCTAGCTTTGTTGCTGAGAGTTTCAACGTCTTTTGAGTTATACTAATCGACTTACCTGACAAAACAACTTCCACCAGGTCCCCTTCCTGGATGTCCGACACAGCCTTGACCAGCTGCAGGATGTTACTGCTGTTGGTGTCATGCTTGAAGAGGAGGATCTTGTCATAGATCCCATAAAAGCCACATTCAGGAAACTGGACAAAACAATGAAAGAAAGAAACATCGATTAGCTTCATTTATAACCCATCTATACATATCCACTACACTCTGCTAATGTAATATTTCTCTTTTCCTGTTGTTAACAACTTTCACCGCATTACAGCAGCTCATTAGAACCACAGCATCCTTAGATTTTTGGCTCATGAACAAACATGGAGAATCCAACTTTGAGATGAGCTACTAAGATTGCTGGTCATCATGTTAATGAAGAGCCATCTGCAAGGGTTCCTGATGGTGGCACTTTTGCAGGTGTACCCACCAGGGATCTCCTCTCTTATTTGTGCAAGTGTTGCACGTCAAGGTGGGGCGGGGGTGTTCTTTGCTTCTGCCAGCTGCATTTTGAAGATTTCCTGTTGTTGCAGAGAAGAGCTTTTAATTTTCGTAGCTCTGATGTGTCGAGAGCTGCCATAAGACTTTTGAGCGGATTTAGAGGTTTTATGTTGTTTGTGTTGTTTTAGGATATCAAACTTTTGAAATTAAAAAGTTCAAAACAATTTGTAAACATAACACAAGTTACATAACCAGAAACTTCTCTTATGTCCAAAACAATAATTTATTGAAATGAATGATGCTCGAAAAAATGGTTAGGTACGATTTTTTTTTTTTTTTTTTTGGACTTTTTAATGTCAGATTAATGCACACGGCAGCCCACATTTATGCCAACAATGCCTATTCAGTGTTCATAAACTTGGGTCGCTCAGTCAGTCATGTTGAAGTAATAAGGAGGCAGTAGGATAGATACTATTATTCATAAACATGAGAAGTAGTAGATCTTATTCCAGTAAGTATATAACTAACAATAACAAATATAGGTAAGCTTTGCCAAAGTTATGTTTTGCCGTTACCTTTGCCATTAAACATTTGACTGATTTTGTCCAGAAACGAAGATTCTGTCATCATTTACTTACACTCTTGTTGTTCCAGACCTGTATGAGTGACTTTCTTCTGAGGAACACAAAACAAGTTATTTTGAAAACTAAACTTTTTTAGTCCATACGATGAATATCAAAGGGGTCCAATGTTGTATGGACCCCAGTGACTTTCAAATGATCTTCTTATGTTCCACAGAAGAAAGAAAGTCATACATGTTTAAATGACATAGAGTGAGTAAATGAAGACAGAATTTTAATTTGGGGGTCAATAGGGTTGGGTATCGTTTGGGTTGCATCTCTGGTATTTTCATAATTAAGTATATTTATAATCCATTGCTAATCGATGTATTTTTTTTTTAAGTATTTAAAGTATTTTCTGCCTCATTCTGTGACAAGAAGCCACATCAGATCACAAAAGGAAGCATTTGACTGGTGTTGTGGAGTAAAAAGGTTATAATTTTCTCTTTTGTTGGACAACAGGTTTAGAAATGTGAATACAAGGGAAGTTTAGCTTTAGGCATTTTAATTTAAGCATGTTTAGCTTAGTTAACGGAAGGCTACCTGCTGCCATCAGAGCAAGTGTAATTACTGCATTCACGCGCTCCTCGGATGCTCTCATTTCCCGAGTTGTGCTTAAGTCGGAATGTGAAAACAACATGGACACTCTCGTTACTACAAAGATTTGTTGGATTTGTATTATTAGAGATTTTCGACTTGAGTTCACGTGCATTTTCTAAGTCGGGAAATTATTTTTCACATGCGGTGCCGGTGATGATGCTTCTTACATCCGTTTCGGAGAACCAGAGGACAAATATTTCAATCGATCGCTCAGGCATGGCACCGAAATGAGGCACCGAAATCTACGTTCGGATTCGGTTCTAGTACATAGCGGTTACATAGGTACCGGTGCCATATTGGTACCGGGTTTCGGTATCCAACCCTAGGGGTCAATTGAATCTTTAACTGTGCTTCAAAATGTGTTTTGTTTTGTGTCACAGTGTGTTCAGGCTTAGCAAAGAGGCTGATATTGAAGAACGGTTTTCTACAAACTTGAGTGAATCCAACAGATAACTCATAGCCCATGAGTAAAACTTTGCATCTCATTTTACATTCAAAGACAAAGTTTTACTTTGAGACTTTATTGGTACATTAGCAAAAAACAGCCTAAGGGTCAACAAGAGGGTGGAAATGGTCATGTAATATTACATTATCACTGCAACAAAACTTTGACAAACATTAGCATTGGCCCCTTAAGATAAATAAAATGATTAAAAATTCTGTGATCCCTTTAAGGACTTTAGATTGTGGCCTGGTGCATTTTTAAAACCATATGGCGATGTTAAACCAATAAAAATAATTTACATCCAACACCTTTTAAACACAAGGCATGTAGAGCAGCAGAAGACGCAAAGGAGCTGCTCTCTGATGAAGATCTTGCAGGGGGATTTCGACACAGTGTCGCTCAGAACCTATTTGTGCTAATTAGCATGAGAGCTGGTGTGGTGGATTTGGTTGGTTGCCTTTCATTTCGAGCTGACAGCTGTGACCGTGATGTGATATAAGCCTGAGAGCCAGTCGGGTGTGATACGCGAGCACTTCTGCATTACAGCCGTCGTCTGCCAATCATTGAAGAGCGAAATCCCACTTGGCACCGAGCAACTACCTGGCATGAGAAGATTAGCTACCTGAACAAGCCAACTTGGATCGAGTTTTAAATGAGAAAGCTGGGCACAGTCAATAGCATGACAAAGGTGCAGTGTTACATATAAGGGATGACAGAACAACAAGGATGAAAAAAGATATAGCCGCCCCATACAAAGAAGTCTGGTATGTAGTAGCCACCCGGTCAAAGGAGTGTGGGACGTAGGCTTGATAATGTCAGTCAAATGCATAGGGACTTATCAGTGAAGAAGATCTCCTGAATACTTTATAATGTGCCATTCAACGCATGTCATACAACTCAGTGAGCCAGAAGCCATCACAACCAGCATACCAAACCAGACTCTTGCTGAAGACCCCTCGTCTTGTGTCAATGTGGGTGTGCAACACTGACACTGGAGAAAGTCAGTTGGATTTTTTCACTACAGAACATGGAATCATGGCTGATATAATAGCACACTGAAAAGAGCATTCATGTGTAAAGAATCCTGTAAATAAGTAAAACTAGGTTTAAGGTTCAACCAGAATGGTATGCTGGTCTCACATCCAAGTACAAGGTGGAATTTGGAGGGATTTTCCAAAAAAAGAAACTGATATGACGTAGTTTTGAACAAAATAAACTTCAAGCAAGTTCGTTTAGAGCAGGGGTGTCGAATTCAGTTCCTGGAGGGCCGCTGTCCTGTAGTGTTACCCTAATTAAACACACCTTAACTAATGTAATCAAGGTTTTCAGACTCCCTAGAAGCTTCCAGGCAAGTGTGTTGGAGCTGGTTGGAGATAAACTCTGCATGACAGTGGCCTTCCACGACTGGAATTTGACACATGTGGTTTTGAGCAGGGATTTCCAACCCTGCTCCTGGAGAGCTACCATCATGTAGACTTTAGTTCCAACACTGCTCCAACACACCTGCCTGTAAGCTTCTAGTGAGTCTGAAGACCTTGATTACATTGGTTCAGGTGTGTTTAATTGAGGTTGGTGCTGAAATCTGCAGGACAGCAGCTCTCCACAAGCAGGGTCGGAGGCCCCTGCATTATAGTTTGTTTCTGGAGTTCAAACAGCTTGATAAAGCGGACTTTAGAAAAGTTTGCTCCAGCTGGTAAACACCTTCAAACTACCATTGGTCTATGGCAAATACTTAATAGTTAGGTGTGCTCTGGGGCTCATCTTCTTTGATATGTAAAGGCTCCAATATACTTAAAGTGAAATCAAAGAACGAAAGTGTGTGATGTAATTTCAAACAAACTCATGCCAAAATTAAGTTTGTTTGCCATTCATTTTGGTAGTTTGAACCCACTTGCAAACTTTCCGGAAAACTTTGCTTCGGCAGGTAAATACATTTGAACTACCTTTGAGCCATGGCAGTTATGTTATAGGTCCATAATAGGTACGTAATACTGTAGGTTTGGCTCTGTGGCTCCACAATCCTTGATGTGGATATCTTCGCCTGTACATTTCTTCTGTTCAGTCCATCAAAGTCAGATGCGAGTAAATATGTGAACAAACAGGAAAGCTGCTTTATAGTAGAAATTGAAGTTGTAATTTTAATTGAAAGCAACACTGAGACTTTTTTCATTTTTAATATTCTAAAGCTGCTTGTTTTAAAGCAATTTATTGTATAAAGTGCTATATAAATAAACGTGACGTGACTTGACCGGAGCGCAGTGTTGCGTATATCAGGGCCTTAATGTAGGATGCACAGTCCGGTGGGGGATCATGTTGACGATGTGATACGAGCATGGAAAACCATTTACAGTGCAAGAGCGAGGAGTGTGAGAACACAAAACCCAGACACGACATCAGAGAGCTCCAAAGCTCCCCGCAGTTGCAGAAGACAGGAAGAGACAAACTGAGACAAAAGGAAAGAGAAAGAATATAGAGAATTACTACACTCCATACCCAAAACAACACCTTTCCACCCAGTTCCTGTTTTTCCCACCGCCAGAACGGCCTAAGGATTGCCATGTGTTCCTTTCAGAGCACATGTGGCTAAACTCCACATCATCGAAAGGAAGAGACGGACCCTAGTCCCTGCATTCCGCTCAAAATACTCCCTCCCGCTTCCAGAAGCTTCCACAAGAAAGTCAACAACTCTCCATCTTGTCTATTTCCAGAGGCTTGAGCTGCTGCCAAAGATTATAGTCCACACCCGGCCCGCTACCACAACTTCTAACCAACCTCCAAACATACTTGACAGCAGCAGGCGGCCTAGAGCGAAAACAGTCACACAGTGGCTTGACGCACTTGCTAAACTAGGCAAAGTCTATCCAGAATCTGTCTGCAATTAATGGAGCTGCTTTAGTGGCTTATGAGTCAAACAGTTATTTCTCTCCCATTATAACTATAGCATAAAACTGCTATTACACAGTCTCAGAAAGGCCACAGTTTGTTCATTGACTGCCTTATGCACATTTTATACAAACATGACAAGCTCTGATCTGATTGG